ATTTGAAACGAAGTGTGATCAACAAGCCTTACTTTGTTTTATACTCAGTAGGATTCTTCTCAAAGTCTTTTAAAACATCCTCTTCACAATTGTTCCTGCATGTGCCCTCTGCATTATGAGCATCATATTCCATACTGGTGCTGAATCGTTAAAGATTTGTATGTTGATAAATGAGTTTCAGTTGTTTCTTGGTTGTATGTCAACGTAAACATTCAACATCAATCACAATAAAAAATACTTTAAAAAAAATACAAAATGCTGTAAAGCATTTTAACTTAAAGCTGTGTCACTCATTCCCCCTTTTTTCCCAGTGGGACAGTGCCGCAGGAACATTGGACATAGTTTCCCAGAATGCTTTTCCACTGGACCCCCTCTCCCATCTGACAGATCGACCACTTCAGTGGGGAGTACTGGCTGTCTACATCCAGTTGTTCTGGTGCTGATTTGGCTTTCCCAGTTGTTCTGGGATTGTGGAGTTCAGTTTCCACTTTGTGAAAAAGACCAAATTGAGGATTTATCTGTTTTTAATTTTAACCAGCTATTTATTTCTCATACGTCAACATCTTAAATGCAGTTTCTACCAAGCCTTGTTTGCTACAGACCTCCACCCTGCTTTTTAGACTGAAACTCAAGTGGGAAATTTCTCATGGTTTGGTTTGAAGGTCCTTTAAGGACTTCTTTTGATATTTGAGAGGCAGACAAAAAAACAACATAAAAGACACAGGGGTAATTGTCCCTGACACATTTCTTGTTTTTTAGCGAATGTTTAGTGTACCAGCAAAGTGCTCTGTTTGTCATGTTCTTGGTCGAGTCCTCATTGTAACCCAAGGCAACAGAAAGTACTTTTCTTCCTTTTATTCTTGACCTTGCCTGTAATATTCAGGCACTCCCATTATGACCATTCAAAGGCAAATGACATGCAGGGCTGGAATCTCTCAACCTACCCTATAGGGTCAAGAAAAAATGGGCTGCAGGTGGTACAATGGTTTCTCACCATTTCAGTGCTCCCCACACCAATGGAGCCAGTTGCCAACTCAGGCACAATTATTTGTGAATAGTGGGATGTTAGTAGAGTAGACCTGCACGCTTGCTGTTATGATTCAAATTCTGATTTATTCATCTTTACGGTGAGTGCCCCAATAGGGTCGAAATGCTGATTAACACATGGTTTTGAATAAATAAGGTCTTAACTCTATCCAGTTTGCAATGTCTGTCTCTATTTCTCTTCACCAAATGTAGCAGTTATTAAAAGACGCCTTACCAATGTTTTGAGTCTCCCTGTTTGACTTGATGTAAATGATGTCTGGTATTTGATGTTAAGCCAGGTTAATTTGTAAGGAATTAATTTATCATCCTTAGAATTTGGTACATTTTTGTTCTTTAGGTTTTAGCAAGTTCACTTTTTTATGATGATGAAATAATGTTATTCAGACTGAACATAAACATCAATAACATCAAATTTCATGGCCTTCTCATTCTTCAAGAATTTCATATTTTTATAAAGATGATCTGTTCTTCAGTGATATATAACAGGGGTTAAAAGGCTATTCAGGTTTGCAAGGACATAAGATGAGTAACAAGCTTGATGTGGCTATAGATGACAGGAAATACAGTTGTGGTTATCATACAGAGAGACATCCCCTCTGTTATTTTCACCTTTGAAACGTCGTGGGAAACTGTGTAAAAATCACAGCATGTGTTTGAGAGAAAAAAAAATCTGAATTTATTCAGAATCTCTCAAGATTGGATGTCAAGCAGCTGTCTATGACACAATGCCAGCAATTGTTAAGTCATTGATTTTAAAGATGCAATGGGATCCCACTAGGCACCTGGGATAGAAAATAACTCTACTTTCATGTTTTTCTTCATCAAAGAAACATGCCCAGATTTTCATGTGGCTTCTGCAGAGTTCTGGAAGTCTCATGAGGCATGACGTGCAATTAATTTCACTTGTTTAGTACTGCAAGGCAATATGGAGTAAAGGAGAAGTGAAAGTAATATCAGCGTTCTGGGTGTTCCAATTCAATTCACCTTTCCAGGAGCTCAATAATTAGAATTTCAATATATTTACCTTTCATTGGGTACTGACTAATTATACTTCAGAGGAAACATTCCAGCCAATACCATTTTGCTCTGTATTTTGTGTTTTATGTGGAGTATATGAGCCGGTTTTAAAGTCTACACACCCTGTGTGTGTGTGTGTGTGTGTGTGAGTGTGCATTAGGTTTATATTACATTGTGGGGACCAATTGTCCTCCACAATGTGATAAAAACCTGTTATTTTGACAATGTGGGGACCATTTTTCAGGTCCCCACAAAGATCTGTGAATACAATCAAAAAATACCAAAAATGTTGTATTTAGTTTGGTTATTTATTTAGGGCTGGGTGGGGGTTAAGGTTGTCATATTGGGGTTAGAGTTATCCGCATAGAAATGAATGGAGAGTCCCCACAAAGATATAATTATGAACGTGTGTGTGTGTGTGTGTGTGTGTCTGTGCATACAGAGAGAATTCACTACCCTCTCCCTGATGGATCATATATTCAGTTATACATTTTTACATTGTTTGCACTCTAAAGTGTGTATGTATAGCAGAATCAGTCAGTTTTTAAACTGAATACATTTTTAGAAGACAATTCAGAAGACAGTTACATTATTTAGCAGATGCCTTTATCTGAAGCGACATAAAATTAAAAGCAGAGTCAGCCAGTCCCTGGAGCTACAGGGCAAAGGGCCTCGCTCAGGGGCCCCATGGTGACATCATTCTGCCGGGTTGAAACAGTTTACAATTATTTACAATAGTATTTACTTATTGTTTAACTTTTTTGCGAGCATAGAAAGTCTATAGCGAATTAAAACAGATTAATGGCAATGGAGAAGAAGAGCAAAACACTACAAAAATAAAATATAGTTTTGCCACCATCTGTATTCATGTTCTCTGTGTGTAATCTGAGTTTCCTCTGAAAACTCCATTCCATGCAAAGACATGCAGTTAGGTGATCTTGTGTTTCTAAAATGCCCATACTGTGAGATTGTGTGTTTACCTTGTACTGGACTGGTATCCCCTCCTGTGTGTACCCCAGTCTTTTACTCTATGCTGCCTAAAAATTCCAGGCCCCCTGTCCGGGATAAGCAGATTGGTTGAGTAATGAATGGACGGATAGGTGGATAATCTCTTTATCCGCTTTTTTGACGAGACTGCTTATCCTGACCATCCTGACCAGTGTTTCAGGTAGACATTGCCATCTTGTGGACAGCATGAGAACTGTCGCTCAATTCCTAAAGGCTCGCCTTTGTCAGCTTTACACGTATCTAGCGTGTGGTTTTATCTAAAGCAACATACAATTGGAAAAACAAAGTCAAGGGCTCAGCGGGGAGATCAGTCTATCGACCATGGGACTTAAACCGTGACCGTCTGATCAGTAACATAGTGTCCTAACTAGGGCCACTTTAATGCAGGGGCTTTCCTGGGCTGAACTAAAAGGGGGCTCAATCAGGGGTATAGTTAGAGATGAATGGATAGGGGAGCTGAGTCTTTACTTGGGGGCAGGGGGGGGATAACAAACTGTTCATGACTTAAGCCAATAAACACATAACATTTCATCTTTTCATATTCTTTTTTGCTTTATATATTCCAGTCGTGTTTTTGGAGAATAATTGTAAATGTACCATTTGTCCATTTAACATGATCAAATTTGTTTATATTTATTTATATATTTGCCTATACAAATTTGAAAGCTTTCTTCAGTAATTGTTTACCTACCTTTGCAATCGTTTTGTTGATGCTTTTTAAATCCAGTCTTCCTATTTATTTTCAAAATGGAATATAGAAATAGAAAGGAATATTTTTTTGAAAGCGCGTAGCCATGTTTCATTTATGTGTGTTTTGAAGACATTGTGTCCTGCTAGATACCTTTAGAGAGAAACAACTTTGCAGTTGTCAAATCTGGCATATTTGGGCTACAATTTCTAATGACTAAATCAAGAAGTAACATTGTGTATCTGCAGTATACATTTGTGAGAATGCAAAATGTACTTTTTGATAAATACTTATTACATGCTTATTGTGTATAGCAGTGCAATATGTCTCACTGGTTGCTAAGGAGAGATTGAAATCTATAACCACAAAAATTGGCACTGCTGACATTAATTATGGGACACAGATCCTCAGAAGCAAGATATGTAGGGTGTGCCTGATAGATAAAACATTACACTGACTCTGGGGGCTCATTAAAGCTGTAACTCTTACATAATTTCTTGAATGTATACAATAAGACAAGACAAGATTCTGTAAAATTGTGCCACCTTTTGCCTGTTAAAACTTGACTTGAGAGTAATGTTGCTTTTATCCTGCTTCAACATTTTAACAATCCATCCATCCATCTTGGAGCCAATCCCGGAAGCTATGGGCGCAAGACAGGGAACAACCCAGGATGGAGTGCCAACCCATGTCAGGGCACAGTCACACAACATTCCATTATAAACATTTCAGCTGTTATAGGTCAAAGTGTTCTTGAAATTATTCACTCTGACTCATTTTTATCTCGCTGTGATCTGTTTAGCATAAGAGGAAGTTGCCCAGGAAAGTGAATCTTTTTTTGTACCTGCACTTAGGAGGTTGACGGTAAATGCAAAAAAAGTGTTATATAGCTATGAGTTTATGTAGAATGAGTGTGTGGCTGTGTGTGTGTGTGTTACGTTTTTATTACATTATGGGGACCAAATGTTATTTTGATGTTGTAGGAACTATTTTTCAGGTCCCCAAAAAGTCAAAAAACTAAAAATGCCAAAAGTCTTTCATTTTGTTTGGTTACTTATGTGGTTAGGGCTGGGTAGGGGTTAAGGTCATCATGTTGGGATTAGAGTATTCCCCATAGAAATGAATGGAGAGTCCGCACAAAAATATAATTATGAACCTGTTTGTGTGTGTGTGCACGCGCGCGCGTGTGTGTGTATGTGTGTGTGTGCGCCTCTGTGAGTCTGTGTTATCAGTGCACAGAGAATGGAAGCTGTTGGGAATTTATGTCAAGATTTCTGGTGGAGTTTCCTCTGCAACAGGAAAGTCAGGCTTCCTTTGTTCTGCCACGGCCTAGAGCCTTGCGGTACTCTGGACGCGACTGTAGCCTGCATCTAGTCTGAAGCACATCGGCTATTTCACTACCGACCGACCGTGGGCAGGAGGTATGGAGTATGAGCCCAAGAAACATAAAAAGGTGGGTTACATTGTACCACAACTTCTTTCTGTTACTATGTATATTTATCTGACAGTGAGTCCTGTAGATTATAATGGCTCCGATTTTGGTTGTCTTTGGAACACTACAGCTCCTAGTACCCTTTAAAATGTAATCATACTGTACTGAACATCATGTGATCATTGCATAATGTACATGGAGAAGCCTTGTGTTGGTGTCAAAATCTATTGTTTTACTTTTGTTGTTACTGTTTTTTAGAAAGGGAAGACTACTTTTTATTCAGTTTTACATTGTTTCTGTGTGTGTGTGTGTGCTCCAGGTATACAGTACCTTACCTTATGGGGACACAATGTCCCCACAACGTGATGAATACCCGTTTTTTTCCCTTATAGGGACCAATTTCCTGGTCCCCATAAGGGAAAACTCAATTTAATAAAAATCTGTGACTGCAATGAAAAAACTAAAAATGCAAAAACTCTTGTATTTTGTTAGGTTACTTATGGTTATGGTTAGGGCTGGGCAGGGGTTAAGGTTGTCATAGGTAGCATTAGCATTTTCCCCATAGAAATGAATGAGCGGTCCCCATAAAGATATGTTTACCCGACGTACGTGTGTGTGTGTGTGTGTGTGCGTGCGTGTGTGTGTGTGTGTGTGTGTGTGATATTTGAGCTGCTTAAATAAAAATGGTATCAAAACAGTATTTGTGAGCTCTACCTTTTCTATGAGGTCCTTTAGTTATATATTTGTGGACGGTGACATTATGCTAATATTCAACTGAGCCACAATGTGAGACGAAATGCTACTTTAAAACAAGGCAAATGTTACAAAATGGCTGTCTTAAAAGCCCACCTGACCTGATAGTGACTACAGTTGGCTACAGTAACAGACTTTTCCTCCATCCAGGGATTAGTTTCCCCCATCCGACGCTTGGTCTTCCCCAAGTCGGGGCGCAAGCAGGTGGACAGGGGGGGTCTGTACCGGCGGCCCCTCCATACTGTCCCACTTTACCCTCCAGATTACCTCATCCACCCCGAAAGGCTGATCTTTGATTATCTGGAAAAAGAGGTGAAGGTGAGTTACTCCGGCTGCACACAGACATGCCTCGGTTATGGTTCCAACCAGAGCATCGTTAGTTAATTTCTTTGTTAAGCGAGTTGACGTGCACACCTGACCTGCTGTAACCTACACTAGGCTCTCCTATAAACCTCACACTAGGTACTAGCGCGTTCAGAGTCCCTCTCTTAGGCTTTTCAATATACTTCACACTATGTACTTGTTGGTTCAGAGTCCCATCAATCAGGCTCCTTTATAGACATTTGTCACAAAGGCACTTTATTTATGTCCACAGCAGCCCCTGCAGAAGTTGCGTAAGCTAGACTGCACACTGCGCAAATATTCACTTACGACATGGTCTTTATCTCACCAGTTCCTTGGCCATTTGACCTGGGTTTCCTGTTCCTTAAACCCATCTAGTCGTGATGAGCTGCTGCAGCTGCTGGACACTGCCCGGGTGAGGAGAGCTATGTACGCAAAACTGTGTCCGTGCATACAGGAAGCAATGCGATATGCACTATTATAAGGTGCTAATAATGGGACAAGACTTCTCATGTCAGGAACCTACCCTCGGACTTGATTACAGATTAGTTTACTTTACTCATCCATTTGATCTGCCAGCAAGCTGTGGGGTGAGAGAACAGGATGGGCCAGCTTCCAGCACCGCTGGAACAAATGGGGTTAAGGATCCTGCTCAAGCACCCAACAGTGGCATCAATCTGTTGGCCATGGGATTTGAACCAGTAACCCTCTGATCACAGGCAGACAGTCATAACCCTCAGAGTGATACAGCACCCCCAATACTGTAGATGTAAAAACCATCAGAAGTAAACAAGAGACCATGAGAAAAAGTACCTGGGTTATATATTCTTTGAAATGAAAAAGACAATGGGATCATGTATGTGTGTGGGGGGTAGCGGTTACTTATACATTATTATTATACATATTATTACACATTATACGTGTGTGTGTGTGTATATATATATATACAGTGCTTGAAGTGGGAAAAAATAAGTGCAGGAACTCTAATTTTCTCGGGCCACTGTCGCTGCATCGGATCAGTTTCAGTAAGTACCGGAACGCAGAAAAAAGTGGCGGAACCCAAAAGACGAAAATACAGAAGTTCCGGAACTGCGTTCCGCTGCGTTCCGGCCCACTTCAAGCACTGTGTATATATATATATATTTTTTATTGTGGGAACAAAATAAGTCTCTAAGCCCCACACTCAGCCCACTGAGCTATGCAGCAATCAGAGAAACAGGTGGAAACACACAAGGGTTTGACAAAGAGTGACGGCCATATATATACACACACATACATAATATACTGTAAAGATGTTCCAGCACAAACACATTTCATCCTGATATTTAGCAACTGAGCCTATGTGTCCTCTTTTAGACATTAAAGGTGTTACCCTTCAAGTTGAGCCAAGAGCAGGACTGTATCCTTAGCCTGTCGGCTCGCTGCCTACTGCTAACCTGGCGAGACAACGAGAAGCTCTTGCTGCGAATCCCCACACATGAGATTGCTGCTGCCTCCTATCTGCGAGATGATGCACTGCACCTCCTAGTGCTGAAAACAGGTGATGCAGAAAAATAAAGAAAATCACCCTGTTAACATATCTGTTGCCCAGCAACAAATAATATAATGGCGAATTACTTTTCACACTGTGTGTATTTTGTACATTAATACATAGTATACCTTATTAATGTGCTATTTTGATTTTAATAAGTATCTCTGTATAATACAGGCCTGAATGTGGACACAGTAGTTGCAGATGGAAGTTTAGAAAAGAAGCCAGGAGGTATTGAGGGACGCCGGCAGACAGTCAGCAATACTGACCCACGGCCATCAGGGGGCACTATGGAGCGTCGACACACCATCTGTGGAGTGGATTGGAAGCCTTCCTCCAGACATGAGGCCAAACAAACAGCAGGTGGAGGAGTCCAGGGAGGGGTCCAAGGGGGGGGTGGGGGGACAAGTACAGGGGGAAGCTTAGAGCGAAAGCGAGTGAGCGGTAGCTGGGAGCGCAGACAGACCCACAAAGCAGGAGGGAGTTGGGACCGCCGGCCCGTTGGGGGGAGCTGGGAAAGGCGAAACACCAGTGCGATAGGTGGGAGCTGGGAGAAGAGGCATGGTGGCAAGCCAGGGGGCAGCTGGGAAAAAAAACAAACAGCAGGGGGCAGCTGGGAGCGAAGGCACGCCTGTACAGGCAGCTGGGAGAGGGGCAAGTCCTACGGAAGCTGGGAGAGACGGAATCACAACCCCCTGGAGCCAACTCCCTGCCCGGACGCCTACTGTAACCTGGTGATACTGGCAGTGGAAAACAGGGTAAGGTGACACCAGCCATTAACAGACACCAGGAACACAGATTTATTGTGAAACAGTATAAGCTCAGGAGAGGTCAGCACCATTTTAACCTCACACTGAAAATGTATGCAAATGTATAAACGTGTTTTTGTGAGGTTACTGTGGCACCCAGTACAGGCATCCCTCTGGGGGGGGGGGGGGGGGGTTTGGGTGCTGGCTATGAATTTTTTGACCAGGGGGAAATGGAGTATCGACAGTAGAAGTTGTTTAACTTCGGGGGGTTTGTGGGTGTCCATCTGCAGGAGACTCCCTGAACTTCCAGGAGAGGTGGGATGTCTGTCACTGTTATATAACATGGCTTTTACGTAATATCCAATATTAGTGTAAGCCACTAATGTGTGTGTGTGTGTGCGTGCCACCTTGAAATAGGCCTCCCTGTGCTGAGGTTTTTTCTCAAAAGTAACAGTCCCCAGCTGGGGGGGATGTTGAGCTCACCAGCTGACTGCATTGATAATCTTTCTCAGGATGCTGCGGAGGAGTACTGTGCTTTGATCTGCCAGATGTTTCAGATCATATATGGACACCAGAGTATTGAGTGTGTGGATCGTGCTGGCTACCATTACACTACCCCTGACAACTACTGGCTACAGAGGAGTGAGTCAGCTCAGCGTGAAACTGGCACCCGGGACCCCTCATACACGTATAAACTTAGTCATAAATGAACGTACATGGTCAGACATACTGTATATACAAGCATGGGGTTATCCTTGCTAGCCTGAGGTTAGCCTAATGCATGCAGTGTTTGCCTCATGCTCATCAGCATGGAGTTAGCCTCACACTCACAGCCATGGGGTTATCCAAACGCTTGCTAGCATGCGGTTAACCTCACACTCACTAGCATGGGGTTAACCTCATGCTCGCAGTGTTAGCCTCACACTCATCAGCATGGGTTTAGCATCATGCTCGCAAGTAGGGAGTTAGCCTCGTGCTCGCAGGGTTAGACTCACACTCGCAAGTATGGGGTTAGCATCATGCTCGATAGCATGGAATTAGTCTCACATTCACAAGCAGGGGTTTAACTTCACACTCACTTGCATGGGGTTAGCCTCACGCTCATACATTCTATCTCATATATAAGAACATGCAATATAGGTTCACACATAATATACACATCATTTAGAATACAAGCATTATCACTTCTGAAGGAGATCATATTTAATAATGAGTATAGCCCAACCAAGCTTTCTGGGTGAAAAATTCTTTTGCAAAAATGCTGAGAGAACTGTATGTACATCTCTTTCATAAATTTTGCTGTGGCCTTTGGATTCTCAGGTGACAGCTGCCTGACAGATATGACATATGGTTACGATGCAGATTTCAGCTGCTGCAGCTCTTTGTAAGTGTCACTTTTCCTAAATCAAATGGTACCTGCTGACCCCAGACATTTTGCACTGACAGTCTTCCCCATCGCCATGTAAATTTATAAGATTTTCCTGGGAAATTGGTTTGGAATTCTGTTAGAAGCTCAGATGGGGGAAGCATATTTATATAACCAGCATTTGACAAGTGTGTTTTTACAACTTGTCCTAAAATCTCTGTGTGCTCCTTCCCTATAGCGATGGATCACATGAGACCTTTGACCCTTACTACAGTGAGAACTACAGTGAGAGCTCCTCCCTCTCCCTGCATGACTCCTACTGCAGTGCTGCCTCAATACACAGTGATGGAGAGCCCAGCAGCGAAGGCTTACAGCTCATGCAGGAGTACATGATTACAGTGAGGCCCAGGATTTGCCTACAGTGTCCGAATGCATGCCCACTGATAGACCATCCATTTCACACGCTATATCTGGGCTATTCAAATCACAGTCCTCAAGGGCCGAGCACTGCTGATTTTCCAGCATTCCTTTACCCGTGAGCTGGGTATGAAGCCTCTGTGGCCAATCAGAATCAGAATTATTAAATGAAATACCTGGGAGAACTGAAAACAAGGCCTGAATTTGGAATCTAGGGCCAGATTTGAAGAGCCCTGCAGTAGATTCATCCAGAATAACAGAAACCAACAATTAGGCAAAATGTAGAAAATAACAGAAAAACATTGTACTCATTTTATAAGTAAAACAATTTTCTTTTTTACATTTTCTTTTAAATCAATGCAAACCTGTTCACATACATCTCATGATTAAACAAAATGTGACTCAATAGTATAGTAATTAGAGCTATTTATGGCATTTCCAATCCTCAGTGTCCCTTTGTCCTTCACAGCTAAGAAGCAGACTGAGTCCCCAGGAGATCCAGCAGTTTGCGCTCCTCCTGCGGGAGTACCGAATGGGTGCACCCATCCAGGAGTTCTGTTCAGACCTCCTCCAGTTGTATGGAGATACCAGAAAATTCCTGTTGCTTGGTGAGGGAACTGTGCCAAGTAGATTTCATTTTCCTGGCAAGACAAAGTGTCTTCTGTTCCTGCCTCTGCTAAAGGTTTCTAGCCTATGCTACAAAGATCTGGTGAAGACTCATAAATATTCATAAGTGAACATCCTGAAACATGTTTTTTTTTGATGACGGTTAGCATTGCAAACCATACCAGGACCAGTCTCCCTACTAATAAATATTTATTACTGCCCGAACTTACAAGAACTGTGCAGATAAGGAGAGAAGCAATGGAAAAATTGCGCTATCTGGACCCTTAATCCAATTTCCTTATTTGCATAACTAGGATCCAGTTCATCCATTAACCAGAGTCTACAGCATAGGGCAGCCCAAAGGGTCTACTTGTTGGCTATGGAAGATATAACTGTATACTGTATCTCACTGGTCCAGATTATAATTGCTTACAGCAGCAGTGGGCAAAGACCTGCTGTCACGTTTCCATGAGCTTGCAGAGATTGTTTACAGGATGAGAACACACATTTGTACTCGCAAAGATTCTCTAAACAAATGTTTCATTTTTCCTGGGCTCTGAGTTGATATGAACAGATGAGCCTTTGTCAAATTCAAGTCCTCACTTGATCAAACAAGCTGTGTTGTTCAGGAATATGCTTGGGAGGGGGGCAGCCCCACGGTAGAGAGAGCAGTGTAGTTACATTTACAGATCCCGTGTTTGTGTGGGTATCTCCAAGAATAATGACAGCATCACAGACCAGGGGCCTGAATCATAAAACCTGATTTCTTGCTTACCCAGATAACCTGTCAGACTTAAGGTACCCCAGTTTAAATGGACTTTACCTTTGTTCTCTTACATTTAGGCAAGACTACCTTAAATCCGACAAGTTATCTGGCTAAGTAAGAAATTCTGGGGGATATATTCCATGAAAGTAGCTAAAGAAAGCCAGACTTTCCTGAAAAAGACAGACTCAAACTACCGCCATCTCTAAACTTAGCCTTCTGTCATTCCACTAATGCAGTTCAGCTGTAACTAATCAAGGCTCATACAAGACAGACTTGCATAGTCTCACTTAGTGCGCAGACACGAGATATTTGAGAAGCCCAAATGAATGGATGAACGATAGATCGATCAAATGAGTTGGAAAGTGTGTAAAACGAGAGCGGTGTTTTTTTCCCGCCGCAGAACAAACGCTGCTGATGGAGCTGTATGAAGAATACAAAGATGTAATCGCTAAAAAAGGCAATACTCTGACCATAAATAAAGTCAGGGAGTTAGCTTGACAAAGAATTGCATACAGACTAAATGTGTAAGTTATGTAAATGTTGCAAGTGCCTGATACAGGGGCACGGTGGTACAGTGGTTCATGCTGTCACCTTATACTGTGAAAGTTCCTGGTTCAATCCCCATAGCCAATGGGGGACCTTCTGGATTGAGTTCACATGTCATTCTTACTGTATAATCTTTATTCTTTGATTACCGTAAATACTTTCAATCACATCTATGTGAAATGTTCTGCACAAATAACCGTATCTTGTCTTTGCTTTTTACTAATAAACTTTCAAAGTAGACTGTGACTAAACAAAATATAAAAATATCTTCTTGTTCATATCATTTTATCCAAATTTTTTTCAGTTTCAGTTATTGCATTTCATGTTTGACCTTTGTAATATGGGTATGCTTTTTTAAAAAACTTTTTTGGAATTAATTGGAATGCTAAGACGTGATTTTTGTAGGCTTTATTATATTGGTCACATTACATGAGTAGTGACAGCACAGAATTTCGTCTGACGGAACGGTCTTTTGGGAATCTGTTCCCACACATCAGACGTTCTTTGAGACAATGCTTAACTAAGCGAGACAGTTAACCTGGTCTGGAGCAGACTTGTTCACTCATGTAAGTTACCATGGTAACGGGGATTCATTTAAGACACGTTGATGGAACAGAACTCCCACTTAAATAAGCCAGGCTTGTCGAAATAAGTCAGACTTTCTCTTAATCCTGCTTCATGGAACACCCCCCTGCTTTGTGATACAGGCCCCAGCTATATGGGTTTAACTTCCATACTTACTCCTCTATTTAAAAAACAGATTAGCAGGGAGATACAAATGGCGCCCTTATATGTGCAGAGCAGATGTCACTCATGTGGAATCAGAGACAAAGGAGTCCAAGAAACCACCACAACAACAAAAACAATAAAATAGCAAAAGAAGGAGAACAACAACAACAACAACAATAATAATAATAATAATAATAATAATAATAATAATAATAATTAATTTGTCCGTATGCAATATCCCTGCTTCAAATACAGGTATGAGGCCTTTCATCCCAGACAAAGACGTTGGCATCTTTGAGAGCTTTCTAGAAGGCATTGGGATACGGGAAGGCGGGATCCTGACAGACAGCTTTGGCCGCATCAAGCGCAGCATGAGCAGCACTTCTGCAACGGCCGTGCGTGGCTACGACAGCTGGTCCCTCCCTTCCGGCTCGCAGGACTTCAACAGGATGATCACTGATATCACGCATGACATTGAGGCGCTGGGCTTCGAGGAGGGTGAAGGAGACATCGAAGAAGAGGACTACTACCTGTGAGGCTGGCCAGCCAACACTGAGATATGGAAAACCTCTCATCCATTTAAATGACACATTTTGTTCCTTTTGGAATATAAACGGGACAAAGATTCACTGAGACCTGGTTAGGACATCTTTCCAGTTCTGGAAAAACCCTGTAACGAACATGTGAATTGTTTCAGACTGATATGCAGCGGGGGGTCAAGAGCCTATCCCTATGGATGGATGGATGATATGCAGTGATGGATAGTCCAGGTCCAGAAAGTAAAAATCCAGATCATGATTTTGTTTCGACCAACCACAGCATAAAGAGTCACAGTGACAGCATAAAGAGTCGATGCAACTCCCTAATTATATTACTTATTAGACTGTCTTGCCAAAGAGTCCTCACACCTGGGTTTGAACAGCTGACCTAAAGGTTATCCCAAAAACCTGCATGCACACTGTTTTAGTGCATTCAAACTGTTCAGGAGAGCAATGGAATTAAACATTTATTATGAGAAGACAGTGTTTTTATGACTTCCTGTTCTATTCTGTGATTATAGTTTTCCCAGATGGTGGCGTTCAAGCATACGACTCACAAAGGTCGCTCGTGTAATGTGCACTTTGTAACAACTAAACAAAACTGATTTGGACATGTAATTGAAAATTATGGATTTTTATTGAATAGAAAACCAAGAAAAGCTGCACCAGCAAAAGTATTTTTATTGTTTAATGTGAATATTTACAGTATGATAAAATATGCAGTACTGTGCAAAAGTCTTAGGCAGTTAAAGAAAGGGATGTTTAAATGATTTTCATGTTGGTGTAAAACTATAATGTTAAGTCTATGTGTCAACCATTTCAAAACCTCTCCTAAAGTCACCCCAGTATTTAGAGCAACCATCCAATACACCCATATATTTTTTGAGTCTACCACTAGCAGACCTCGCATAGCTAATCAATATCTCATTGGCTGTTTTTTTTTAACTAATTTAATTAATTAAGTGAGCTAGTAGTTAAATTTAACAAATACATGGAATGGCTGGGGTACCCCTGAGGTGAGGTTTGGGGACTGAAGTGATGTTCATCTACCCATTCAATGACATATCAGTAACTTTTTGGACAACAGAAGAAATCCCTTCAAATTCTTATTGTTACCTTTAATTTGCATATGTCTTAATGGTCAACTGTGTTTTGTGTTCTGTGAGAGTATACACTCACTACCCAGATAAATAGATTTAAACATTTTCTTTGACTGCCTTCGACTTTTGCACAAATACTGTAATATCACTGGATATAACAACGACATAAAAAGGACAATATTGAATAGACAGAGAAGTAAACAACAGAATTCCTGGATATTGAGTTTACACAGTGGGCATCAGATTTACAAGAGCTTACAAGCTGCATCAGACATGCATAAATAACGAGAGATCCAATAAACTGTGTGGAATCCATGAAAGTGGAGAGGACTCTGAGCACAAAGTTATGGCTTTTTGTCACCTTTTCTTACTCTAAAGCTGATTGATGGAAAATTGAGTGTGCAGTGTTTAGTCCAAGGAAGAACGCCTTTGGGTTTACAGGATTACACACAATAGGCATGTTTTCAGAAGACCAAACGGAATGTGAACTCTGAAAGCTCAGCAGTTATCTTATATGGGTCCAGAGAGACAAGCACTGATCTCACATAACCATATCACTTCACTTATTATGGTAAACGGACTCTGTTGCGCTCACCAACATGGATCTTTCTCTGTTCTTAATGTTTTTTTCCTGTCCATCACATTTTCTTCGTCTATTCATTCTATGAAATTTCAGTGTTTCGCTATTCTGGGCCCTCCATCAACTCCACAGAAGAGTCTCCACATCAGTGTCAGAAAACCAGAAAATCTTTGTCGAAAATCTCATGTATCTTTATATGTATTATATAAATTCAAATGCAACCATGAGATACTTATATCACTTCGCTACAACACCTATCCTATTCAGCCTAGAAATCTTTTGTTGTTTTTCTTGTTTCATATCATATACGTTCTAACTCTCAAGAACTACTGAGCAATTTATCTTGTATTTCCCCCCCAAACTAATGTTGCACATCCCAATATAGCTGCCTTCTGCGTGAAGCCACTCACACCACCCTAATGAAATCCTCCTGCCAGCACTGTGAGTTTTGCCTGCATGTTCTTCCAGGCATGACTGGTTGACACTGCCTCGATCCCATCAGGTTAATAAGATGAGGTGTTACAGTTCTCATAACATGCTTCACCTCCCATGATTACAGATGAGGTGTTTTAAGTTTATACATTTAATACATTTATTAAAGGACACCCAAACTATGTCATATGATTGCAAAGTACAAGTATAAATTAAGCAGTAAATCCGAATGGGCAAGACATGTATCTGGACTTGATAGCGATTAGCCCAGTATTCTGTTTTCACGGCCATCCTGGGCTCACGGCAGTCATTTATGAAAGTATTCTGGGCCATTCCTTGCACGAGCACATTCAACAGCCAATCAGCTCTAGCCGAAGTCGTCATACTTTACATAATCCCCGGTCCGATCCAATTAGCGCGCAGTAGGTGTGGCCTTATCTGCACGCCGGGTAGAATGCCTTCGGTTTGTGATGTTTTCGTCACTTGAGGATGGCGACTGCAGCCGTCGGCGAGCAGAGTATTTCGGGAAATAGTTCAGTTAATCCTCAGAAAGACCACCTGCGGAAGAGTAAAGATTCGCGCAGGAGACAGGCTGCTCTCCTCTTTCTTAATAATATCTCACTTGACGGACGGCCTATTTATCACTACAGCAATGGGGCGAATGATGAGAGAGAGACGGAATTTCAAGGTTCCGAAGCCGGAGCGGCGGCAGGGAGACTCTGTGCGGCCAGCAGCTACGGGACCTTCCCCGCTCTGTCACCCTCCGTGAGCAGCGGCTCCTGTGGTACCGCACCGAGGATCGGGGTTTTCAACGTCCCCCCGATTCGGGTTCTGCCCACGGACTCAGAGTTTAATGCTGTCGAAAGGGGTGAAATGTCCCTGGAGAGGGATCAGGGCGCCTTCTCGTCCCAGGGGAACCTTCTCTCCCCGAGTGGGCAGACTCTCCTAGGAGCTCGGAAATCGCCGACCCTGCTCTCAGTGCAGACTTTCAATCCGATCACTCTGGATTCCAGGCAAAGGTATTTGACACTCGCTTAAAATGTGCAATGTTAAGTTTTCAATTCATAGCATCGCGTTTCTTGTGTAGTTATATCAGTATTTCTTCCAAGTTGATCAGCGTATAAAGACCTCTTCTGTTCCAATCGATGCATCCTGCAGCAAGTGCAAGTTAAAGGGCTATATTAGTATCCGGAGTTGTTTGGTCGAGCAAATTACCTAGATATTTTCATGGTAATATACACAGGGATGCTCTGTGTCTGCGAGCAGGACCTTGTTAGATAATTGCTGGTGATGCGACTAGTCCTTTGACACTGTTGCTTATGTAAAATATGATGTTATAGACTGTCCCAGACACCCCCCACAGGATCTTTGCTATATATTGAAGTATACAGGGTGTATCAAGTATTTCTCATCACTTTTAAAATACTTTATCGTGGGTCCAGCTGTATGGAAACCAGCATATTAATACGTTTGCTAGCTGTTTTTTTTTTTTCCTAAAAGGTGTCATGCCTTACGTATGAAATAATTTCCGCTTTCGTTTGGGTTGGATATCCATGCTTATTTTAAACAAATAGGATATCACTCACCTCGCCTGAAAAACAATCATTTCAATTGAGACATACTGTCCGTGGGATATTGTAATTATAATCGATTACCTGTTACTGCATATGTCATTTGTATTTTTTTAAAGTCACACTCTTGAACACACAATGTACACGCCTCGTTTGTAAATACGCATGAATCAGTTATGAGTTACATTCGCTTAGGTTCAAGGGCACCCGATGGACAGTCTGATTGTGTGTCAAAGATTTTGTGTGGAAAATTATACGATAGGAAAGTTATTTAGAAATGTGAAGCATTACTTCCTGTCTGTTTAAAAATCCCACTCACATGCTTCCACATGACATCATACATTGAATGGGTGCATGCCCAAACAAGGCTGTTTTCACTGGTTTGTGTGTCTTTTAGAACAGAGGTAAGAGTTCTTTTAATTGCAATGGGTTCTCTTCTGTGCACAGCTGTATCTATGTAAAAGCTAACTTGTGCTTTTGGCTTGCATTCCAACTTGTTGGATTTGTCAAAAGGGTCATTGTGTGCATGCCTGAATATTACAAAAAGAAAAAAAACATTTGGTTTCAGGTTTGACTGTAGGTGGTGCAGAGATGTTTGTAGGGTGGTTCATTGGTAAAAAAAAATACAAAGAATTCATATCCTGGCACATACAATTTTTGAGTTGAACATCATGCATAAAAATGCTGGAATCTCAAAGTTAAACTACCGTCCTCCTAATTATAAGCACAGCCCAATGTTTTGCCATCCGGTGTTGATTTTGTCAGCGCCAGTGGTAAATGGACATGTTAAAGATTATAGGGTGTCCTTTCTTCTTTGACCTGCGATGTTTACACTCCAAGACTCCAATTAGGAGTGATCTAAACATCAGGAATCACTTTGAAAGTTAGTTAATAGTTTGAGAGCAAGTCTGATTTCCAGGAAGTCATTATGTAGTTATGTTATTCTTGAGAATTGGCTATTAGAAGTGTTTCATTTTTCAATCATTTGCAAAAGATATTGCATGGACAATTTTGTACTGTATTCTCATTGTAGTGAGAATGCTTTTTTTTAATAAAAAAAAAAAAAAATTAAAAACCTTTTGTGAGGTTGCAAAACTGTCATGTCTCCTTCAATGTTTATCTTAAAGTGGGGAAAAACACAATTTTTAACACGATTAAAGCATTAATTTGAAAAAAAGTTCCCATAGACCAATAAAATCGCATATCTGAACCTCTGAAGGTCGATTATTACATTTTGTTAGTTTGGAGACGACCCCAGTTTTTTTGAAAATGGTTCATTTCTCTTGAATTGTGCTCGGCTCATTTGTTTAATTGTTGCCCACATGTTAATTATACAAACTGGAAGATATTGCTGAGATTTGGCAGTTCAACTGGCGAAACCTAAATTTTAAAACTTAAATTTTAGCTTTAGTTTATTTTTTTCTCTGTGAGGTTGTAGGGCTAATAGTTGTTTTCTGTGGATTCTGTCAGTTTTAATGACATCCAGGCATCAAACTATTTAGCTAAATCTACAACCAGCTCCACTTTGGGTACATGATAGCATCTGGAGGTCACGGAGCCTTTTCCCCTGGAGTTATAATATAAACAAAAAAGGAAGTCATCAAGTAGGGTTCACCAGGAAGAACCAGCCCTCAAGAAAATTTAGTACAGTATTTCAGATTTCCAGGGAGAACACATTTCCAAAAGTGCAGTAGCAACTTATGGCAACCAGTTTCAATCCCCATTCAGAAGCCTGTGTGAATTTGCTGAACGATTCCTGCTTCAGTTTAAAGTGGCAGTTCTGTGACATCACCCTTCAAAGCAGAAAATCAGACAAGTTCAATATAAATGCATATATATAATCAGACAACATTTAATGACTGACATAGTAAAGCGCATTTGGAAATTTACAACTTTGAGCAGCCATTTGGCTGTGTGAATCACTGTAGTATAATGCTGATTTATATTTGTTGACATGGTTAAGACATAGCTAGTCCCTTAGAGGCACATTGAATATCTGTACTTACTTTATAATGCATTGCGTCTAAACATCTGGAGTTGAACTGTCATCCTCAATTTATTTTATATTATTTTCAATCCACAAGAATTGCTTGTCATGCAATTTCAAAAATGTATATAGCAATAAAAACTAAACGGATCCTGAGAAGATCTTTAAATATTTAGTAATAATCTAAATATTTAAAGGAAAGTGGTTAGTCCTTTTGTGCATGCGTGTGTATATATGTGTGTATGGGAGTGAGACAGCGCTGTACGGTTGCTTTTCAGTGCCTGGCAAAAGGTGTAAGATGTTGTGGTACTGACATCTCCCTCTGCAGCCTGTGATCTGGAACCTCCAAATCTATACTAAGTCTTTCTGCTTTTAATACTTAAAGCCCGGTACCTCTGGTTGGTCGTGCACAAAAATACAGAGCAGATGGAGAGCACTCTGGGGGAGAAGGGCAGAGGAACGGTTGCATAACATTGTCCAGTCCAGGCATTTCCAAGCAGAAGGTATTTGCCCTAATGCCTGGCCCATGGTCTGTGGCTGAGGTCGCGGTGTTGGAGGGGTGAGCCTATAATGGCCTCTTATGCAACAGACAGTGGAAAGAGCTGCAGCGTCTCTCTGGCCATCGATGATGCAGCTGGGTTGTTTGCCAGGTTTTATTTTAAGGGCACCAGGCTACTGCATGTTTTTGCCTCTAATATAATGGGTAAGTGCAGGTAAGTTACATATGTGATCAGTTAGGATGCCCATGGTTGTTATTGAGCACTTAACATAATTGTTCTACCTTTTGAATGGTTAAAACATGAATGTAGGGTAAAACACCCCGAACTTTTGATATTGAGTATTAATGATCTTATGTTAAATAGGCCTGAACTTGCACAAATAATAGCTGTAGTTTAGGCAAATATGTACACAGTGGAATGTAACTGGATTTTTAGGATTAAGAGAGAGAGAAGATTAGTGCTACACATTGATTTCCATATTTGGGAAAATTCACTGAACAGTCTGTTAGGTTTCTAATTTCTTTGTGGAAAGGATCATACTCTCTGGACGCAGCTGCTTCATGTTTCAGGAGTCCCCTGTTTCCTGGTGTTTTAATGGCCTGAAGTTATGGAGGGGGGGGGGGCTGCTGCCACTGGGCCTGTCTATTGTGTGGAAATGTGCGATTATGAACTAAACAGCCGCTAAGCACACAAAGACTCTTTCTCCAATTTCCATTTGCATTTTTACATCAGTGATAAGCAGATGTGCTGTAGCTGGTGACTTGCACATTTTAATTGTGATAAGTGAATGTTGTAATTGATAGTTGCATGAAATATGGAAGAGCTGGGTGAGTCTCCTGCCTGTAAAGTTTGTGGAAGGTTTGTTGTGATGAAGGTTTGTAATTTAAATAACGAAATAAAAGTTATCAGTCATCTAATTACTCTCCACAGCTATAGGTGCCATTGTTAGGTCAGCAGAGGAAAGGCAAGATCAGCTACACCTGTGCTTATCATGGTCGCGTTGCTGCTTGTCCCCAGTGCTATGCAGTGCTGTGTAACGAGTCGTGACTTCACACCCATTATATTTCCTGTTTTTTTATCGGTCTGTGAGGGGTGGCCCTACTGTCTCTTTTTCAGAAATGGGTTTCAGGGGGGAGCACCGTGTCATAAATGTGTGACTTGTTTTGTCAGCTATTGCTGTTATGAGATTTGACACGAGTCCCCTGATCATAGTAAATACTTGAGTAAGTATTAGAGAAGATCACGATAATATGATTGCCTGTATCACTAATGTCATATTGCTTTCTAATATTAAAAACATAATTATCTGTGTGTTTATAGATGAAGTTTTAATGAATAGCTTTAACAAACATAATTAGCTAGTGTTAGATTGATGTAAAGCTCAAAACCACACAGAAATACAAATATCAATGTATCCGTCCTTCTGTTTTCCACTTATCCAGTGCTGCATCATGCAGTCTATGTCAGGAAGACAGGGTACACCCTAAATGGGATGTCAATGAAATACAAATAAATACGGAAGTCTGTAGAGGACATGCATCACCTTTTTTTTTTTTATCTTGAGATCACGACATTTTTCTCGTGATCTCGACATAACCCTTGTCACTTTCCCGTGATCTCGCGACAGGTTTAGTATTATCCTCATGGATAAATGCATCAGATTTTACTTTGTTTGTGGACTGTCCTAATCAGAATCAGAAGACTTTATGAATCCCGGAGGAAATTGCTCGCATTGCGACTGCACAATCACACATAGACACAGCACAGTATAAGTATAAAAATAGGAATGAAGTGTAAAACAAATTATGGCACTGTTAAACATTCTAATAAATAAAATAAACATAAAATAATGTCCAAAAGTTACAGAAAAAGTAATAAAACACTTAATACAGAAATCCAGATAACTTCAAAGGCTTTGCTAACCTTTTCTCATGACAATTTATAATAATTTGTCTTACTTGAAGAAATGAAATAGGACATTAAGTGATTTTCAGTGATATCAGTACTTGAGAGTACATTGATCACGAAACACAATACCAATATCAGCATATACACTTTTAAAATAATTTTGCAAAATAATGCTTTTATGTAACACTTTCTGAATGCATAACTTTCCCACAGTATGTCCCCAAATACTGGTAACGGTATGTAAAGGCAAATTTTATTGCTTGTTTTGACAATGATCATCTGTTGAAGCCAAATGTACCCAACAAAACGAACTTCTTATCATATAATTATCATCATGTAATTAGTGTTGAATTACATGACCTTTACTATTTAAAGGAACACTGAAATGACATTTTTGGGGTATAACAGGACTGTTTCCTGCCCCGTTTCATGCATCTCTCTCTGTTGGCTCAGGTCTCGCACCCTGTCAGGCTCCACGAGGCCGAGACCCGTGAAGAAGGTGCATTTTATCAAGAACATGAGGCAGTATGACACTCGTGGGAGCAGGTGAGCCACAAGACCGCAAGTCCCATGTTCGGGAGCCAGATCCTCAAGACAGTCATTTCAGAGGACCCCACAGTTTTAACTACAGCCTTTTGGGACTGGTTTTTAAGTTTGTTTTCAGATCTCTCTGCCCAGTTTACGGTTTGGCACAATGTAGCATGCTACTAGTCTATGGTCCAATCAGAGACTTGATCTGTATTGCAGGTCATCCCAAAGTGAGCCTAAATTTCGGTTGGTTCAAGAGAAATTAATATAACAGTCTTATTCTAGTGACTTTCTCATCCCTTCTTCCTAAAATAGTTTAAAATGAATCCAGGGTTTAAGTCCTGGCTTGGGCCCAATGGAAAAATTAGGTCACATAAGGGCGACAGTGGTGACCACACGACGATGTTTCTGATTGTTATTGTTTGTTTTCCTGTTGAAAAGTTTTCCCAAGGTTTTTTTTTCCTCTCCCCCCCCCCACTCCCAAAAAAAGCAGATAAGACTCTAGCACTTGCAATGTGACTTATTTGTCTGAAAGGGGATTTTCGTTTTATATATGTTTTATATGTGTGCAACTTTTTTCGAGCCTTGTATAAGATGCCAGAAATCAAAGAATAGAAATACTGCAAATGCAGGGGTCATTTTAATGCCGGTATTTCCTGGCTCACGTGCTGTCTGGGGAAAAATGAGAATTTTATGTTCTATAGGCATGTGTCTTTGTCTTTACAGCTTATCCACACTCTGCTGTTACGGGATATGCCTTGGATGTACCACGCTTTGGGTTTGCCTGCTTGCTTCTTGTCACGTGTTCCTGTTTCTAAACGCACAAAGCCAACAGAACTCCTGTGCTGCCTGTTGCAGGATCGTGCTGATATGTGCCAAGCGGTCCCTGCTGGCCGCCTTTTCAGTGCTGCCGTACGGCGAGAGCTTCCACATCAGGTACCGTATGACCCACGCACCCTCTCCGCCTCCCCATCCCTGCATCTTCTCCCACTCCTTCATTTTACTGAGATAAATTTAAGATGAAATCTGATGGAAATTTGACCTGAAATTGAGTCTTGCGGCCTGTCTAACAGGTAGGTTCGGGTTTCGAATGTAAATGTTTATTCCTCGTTTTCATGACGTTTTCTGTTTAAAAGAGTTGGGTTCTGCTTATCTGTAAGTAAATTCTGGAAGGAAATTAAAAATAGTTCTTTTTTTCCAAGAGAATTTGGTTCCCTTGATAAGTCATCTTAATTAACCCTCATTTTATTACCGTGATCATGTTCTTTCCTGGCCAAAAAGACCATACATGGAAGTCAAAATTTCAAGTATGGCGTCGCATTGATGTCAAACACATGCACAAGTAAAGATATAATCCACTCTCAAGATATAGGTCCTTCGTGCACAAATTCAACATTCGAGAGTAGTACAGGCAGCTGCAAGTGAGAAATTACTTGATAAGTTGCTTGCGGAAGGTGAACTCAGCTCTCGAAGCTGAGTTCTGCTCAAGCGAATCAGCCTGACTTTTTGGGGGCGGAAACCTAGGGAGACCCTGGCGCTCATATGACTGGTCACTTCCAGCACGATTACACCCACACGGACCTCCATGTCCCTTGAATGACCGCTGAACATCAAGCAAATATATACAGTTGTTTTCGAAATAGCAGTCCGACATCACTAACCTGATCCATCACTGTTTTTTCTACCCTTTTCTACATGACAAATAATTTGCTAGTAGGTGTAGTAATAGAAAACCAATAGACATGACATGCGTGCTGCTGGTTCTTTGTAATTGAATCATTAATTGAAAGGGGCGTGTTGTTGTGTGAAGTTAAGTTAGTAAGGTAATTCAATCTGTGAAATACAGGTGTCAGTTACAGCCCTTATTTAAGGCAGCAAATGTCGTACATGCTGGTTATAGTGCATTTCTCTCAGAAAATCTGAGTAAAATGGGTCGTTCCAGACATTGTTCAGAATAGCAGCGTACTTTGATTAAAAAGTTGATTGGAGAGGGGAAAACATATAAAGAAGTGCAGAAAATGATAGGCTGCTCAGTTAAAATGATCGTAAATGCTTTAAAATGGCAACCAAAACCTGAAAGCCGTGGAAGAAAACGGAAAACTACCATTCGAATGGATCGAAGAATAGCCAAGATGGCAAAGACTCGGCCAATGATCAGCTCCAGGAAGATCAAAGAAAGTCTGAAGTTACCTGTGAGTACTGTGACAATCAGAAGACGCCTATGTGAAGCCAAGCTATCTGCAAAAAGCCCCCGCAAAATCCCATTGCTGAAAAAGAGACACGTGCTGAAGAGGTTACAGTTTGCCAAAGAACATATTTACTGGCCTAAGGAGAAATGGCGCAACATTTTGTGGACTGATGAAAGCAAGATTGTTCTTTTTGGGTCTAGGGGCTGCAGACAGTTTGTCAGACGACCCCCAAACACTGAATTCAAGCCACAGTACACTGTGAAGACAGTGAAGCATGGTGGCACAAGCATCATGATACGGGGATGTTTGTCATACTACGGTGTCAGGCCTATTTATCGCATACCAGGGATCATGGATCAATTTGAGTACATTAAAATACTTGAAAAGGTCATGTTGCCATATGCCGAAGAGGAAATGCCCTTGAAATGGGTGTTTCAGCAAGACAACAACCACAAACACACCAGTAAAAGAGCAACATCTTGGTTCCAGACCAACAAGATTGACGTTATGCAGTGGCCAGCCCAATCTCCAGACCTTAATCCAATAGAAAACTTGTGGGGTGACATCAAACATGCTGTGTCTGAGGCAAAACCAAGACATGCCGAAGAATTGTGGAATGTAGTCCAATCATCCTGGGCTGGAATACCTGTTCACAGGTGCCAGAAGTTGGTTGACTCTATGCAACACAGATGTGCACCATGGTTATACAACTAATTCAAAGGGAAGCTAAATCTTGAAAGTTTACATAGTGAATGTTTGAGTTTGTAAAGAAGAATGCAGACACTGCTATTTTTAGAACAGCCTAGTATTCCTTTTTCTTAAATTTTTATAAAGGATTAACACAAATGTAATAATTTTTCTTCATGTTTTGATTAGGAATAGAATGTACAGTGTTCCCAAGCATTTGCATATATAGAAATAAAAGCTATTATAAGGACTTTGGGCTTTATTCACTTTATTATACACACTGCTATTATTCTGAACACAACTGTATATTTTTTTCTTTTGGTGTTTCATTAAACAATATTTAATTACATGAAAGGGCCAGATGTATTCTATAATAAAAAGTGTCAAAATAAAATAACAAAAAACATTAGTGCACCTTGAGGACGTACATGTGCCAGTAACGAGCATCATGTACCCGCACATTTTTAAAATGCACCACTTAAGTATCGATTAACAATGTACCACTGACTAGACATGTTTTTTTCTTGGTCAAAAGCACAATGTCATTTCGCTGCTTTAAAACAGCAATGTGCTGACAATGAGCAGAAAGCAGGCGCAAAATCATTTGCTATTTTGCTAACGTGTGTGCATAACGTGAAAATGAGCAATGTGCTGGTACGAAACTAGCAAAACTATTTTTCGTCTCACTTTCCGCCAAATAGGGCCCTAGAACATTTCTGATTTTTACTCCATCCATCCATCCATGGACCCACTGCCTATCCTGATCAAGGTCATGGGGGCGCTGGAGCTTATCCCAGGCAGCCAAGGGCATAAGACAGGGGGGCACCCTGTACGGGATGCCCGTCCATCGCAGGGCACCTGCATACTCATACCCACACATGTGCAATGACACTCTATAATCTGTTTAGAGATGCCAGTTAGCCTAATTGCTCATTACGACTGTTGGAGTAAACCTTCCCAACAGACACTGAACACACACACATAAAATGACAATAAAATTTTTATATTGTCTATATTATATTGTCTATATTATATTGCCTATATTATATTGCTGAAGTAATTACATACAGTGAATGCTACAAGTAGTTTGTGTTTTGCATGAAACATAGAATAGAAATGGAATAGAGTGTTTCATCAAATGTTGTCCAGGTTCTAAAACTGATCTCTCCCTTCTGGAATTAATTTACAAGTTTATAGTTCTTAGAAAGGGACACGGTATGAAATACCCATAAATTCCGTGTTTAGGGCTCTGTTTAGGAAAGTTCTCCCTTGTGAAACTCCTGTGTAATATTTGTTTTGGAGAACATATTCCTAATTTGAATATTCTGACAAAGCGCTTAGTTTCAAAAATATACATATTTTGTCATTTTATAAGCTGTTCTATGAAGGTCCTGTAAACTGCTGGGAAAAACATCCGTCTTGTAAAATGTAAAAAATCGTCTTCCTCTTGTCCCCTGGGTACCGGCAGTTCCCAAAATTTGTCCTTGATGCACCATACGCTCCCTCTGCTCTCCATAATGAATTTTTCCTTTGACAAATTAACCCTCAAGCTTAAAGCTTTGTGTATGTGAAAGCTGTGTGTATATGAATGCCGTGTATGCGTTCACACTGGGTCAGTGGGCGAGAGAGAAGCGCAGAGTGCTTTCCCACGCCTGGCTTCCCAGACTTTGGTGTGGAGAGCTGTTGAACTTAGACCCCTACAGCCCCACCCCCGAGCGCCCCTCCCCCCTCCCATCTGCACATGCAGGGCAAAAGGTGTCTGTGGTCATCCACTCACTCAGAAAACAAATTACCATTCGTGTTATACAAGTGGTTAGCGAGGGGATTTCTGCTGCCCACTCACCGAAAATGGTGCTGTGGGGGGGGGTGGGGGTGGGGCGGGGGCAGGAGCGACGCTGTGCCAGGCTCTGATATTTCAGTCACCTCTGCATGTTAACAGAGTCTCATTGTGATGATCACAGAATCCGTCACAGGACAGATTTACAATTCCAGTGAAGGACTTTTCCTGGCTTAAAGGTGCTGAACGCCTACTGGATAGTTATTTTCGGTCATGATAATATTCTTGTATCCCTGTCCAGGATAAGCAGTTGTAGAATGGATGGATGGAAGATGATCCTCTGCTGACAGGACATGAGCTGAGATTATAGCAGGGTGAAATTTGAAAGTAATCAAAAAAATAAACAAACAAGAGTGATATTACACAAAATAAATCAATAAAATTGCTTCTGTTTGTACTTTGTACTTCCTCTGTTTTCCTTTTCAATCTGCTCTGGAATAGTGTGACTGCTTGAGAGAAGCCAGCCTGCGGCCAGGCTAACAGCCTCACCCTGCTGCTCGCTGTATTGCCGTTTCAGTGAACCACAGCTGGACATTCCAAGGCACCGGCGTTCCTCTACCACAACCCTGGAGATGTTCCCCGGCCTGGACGGTGTGGAGCTGGGTGCATACGGCAAGGTCAGCCAGAAGGGGGCCCACGGGACATTTCAGTGATTTTATGAAATGATATTTATGTAACCCCCTTCTCTTGCTGGAATTCACTAATGTTTTGAGCTTACGTAATGTTTGTACACAGAAGTTTTAGGGGTTTATACGTTGACAATTCTTATTTTGCGAACATGAACCTTTCTCAAAGTCTCAGAGTTTCTGGGAATCGTTTTGTTGCTGATTGGATGAACACTGGTCACATGGGCTTAGGTCTGTCGTGTGCTTTTGCCTGCAGCCATATCCATGTACCTCATGCTCTAGGAACACATTGGTTCCCGTAACAATACTGTTTCTCTGCTTTGCAGCTTCTCAGTGAAATATGGCATATTCCAAGCAGCCTTGCTGTTGTCATTTTCTCACCGTGGAGCCTTCTAAGTGAAATATGGCGTGTTCCAGTCAGACTGACAGCTTTATCGATCTCCCGCAGACCGTGTCCTACGCCAGGTTCCTGCACCCAACCAATGCCTTGGTGAGACAGAAGAATGCACCAGTAGACATCACTATACAAATGGCCAGTACTCAGAAGAACTGTGCACCTTCTAGGCCCAGCAGCACCGTAGGTTTGGACATGGGTATGTCATGATATCCAGAGACATGGATGTAGTTGATTGACTGAATGGAAACCATTCCATTATGACCACTCAGTGTTTCATGCTGCTATCGGCTTGTGAAGGCTGTGTCCGTGGGAGAACCGTAACTGGCGAACGGGTCAATTCCACTCGGTGGGATCCGCTTTCCAGTTTAGCTCTTCGTTGCATTTGTTCTCAGGTGGGGATGATGTTTTGGAGTATGACCCCAATCTGCTGAGTGACCCCCAGTGGCCCTGCGGAAAGCACAAGCGGGTTCTCATATTTGCCTCTTATATGGTGAGGCAGCCCCCAAGGAATGTCCGAGTGTGTCTGAGCTCACTGTGCACCTGGCTGTGTTACTCCATTTTCTCATAGTCACGTTCACAACACAGTGATTGTCTTACGCTTAATAAGTGTTTTGCATGACTTCTTGATTTTGTTTACTCTCAATTAATACCTAAACCATTTTTGAAATGGTCCATATATTTGTTTTTCATATTAATGGCTTTCTTTGATATTTTTTTAGCAGCAGTGGTCTGTTGTTGGGATGCTGTGCCTTAACAGGTTAGAGTGCTGTGTCTGTATCCAGAATGTTATGGGCTCAAATCCTGTGACTGGTGAAGTAGCTATATATCATTGGGCCCTTGAGCAAGGCCCTAAACACCAGTTGCTGGCTGACCCTGTCCTCTGACACCAAAGCTTGCTCTCACATGTATATATAGCTCTGGGAAAATTGAGACCACTATATTGTTTTAAAAATCTGCATTGTTAAATCTTGGTTTAATCTTGGTTCTGCTGGCAGAAGGCTACACTGTAAGGCAGGCCGCTTCCAGGCTCAAAATTTCTAAGTCCACAGTACACGAGAACAGTGTGAAACAGGAAACACTGGGTACGATCAAAAACCAGCCAGATAGAGGGCAGAAGCTACTTTCTAATGCCAGAGATGACTGTCAACTTATCCAGCAGTGGCTCATAAATCGGAGGATGACCTCAAGTGACTTTCAAAGACAACGGGAAACGTTAATTGGTGTGATGTGCACTGCTAGGACAAGTTCATAACAGGCTCCTAGAAGGTGGACCCATAAAGCATGGAAGAAGCCCTTCATCAATGAGAAGCAGGGACAAGCCAGTCTGGCAAAAATGTGCCTGTGTATTTTACACTGGAACATACCCTGTGGGCACCAGACCATGTGGACAGTGGTGCCCTAATGATTATGGAAGCGTCCTTATAATCGGCTTGAATCTGGCTTGAATCCCTGACTGGCAAAGTACCACTGAGGTACCCTGAGCAAGGTACCGCCCCCAAGCAATGATCCCCAGGGGCTGAATTAGCTGCCCCCAGCTATGTCATGATGTCACATATGGGTTAAATGCAGAGGACACATTTCGTTATTGTGCACTGTGTGCTGTGGTGTGTCAACAGTGACAACTAATCACTAATCTATTCACCCATAAATTGAGAAATGAGTGAAATTGAAAATTTTTCTATGGTCTCTTAATTTTTTTCCAGAGCTGTACTTGTGTGTGTCTCTCATAGTGAGCAAGCTGATGTGTTCCTCTATGCCTGTATAAATAGTAAATATCATATCTTTGTTTAGTTTGTCTAAGCTGCTTTGCAGTGCAATTTTAAATTGTTGGGCTAGCAAACCACCATTGACTTGGCATCTGAATGAATGTTCCCAACTGAACCTGAGCGATCACTAATCCCACTGCCAAGCGATTCCTGTCCGGCTCCTTCCTCTTCTGATTTGCTTTGTCCGCCGGTGTCCTGCTGGCCGCTTGGAAGACCTCAGACCGTAAGACAGTTGCCTCTTTTGCTCAGGGCTGGATTTGCCTCGTGAACAGGCTTATCCTGTCAGCGCTGCAGTCAGACCCAGTCCCTCTCTATTCACCGCTCAGGCTGACTGCCTCAGAGGCCCTTGACTGCATTGTCATTGAGAAGCTGCCAAGCTGGCAAAGAGGCTCAAGTCTCAAAGCGCCTCTAATTCCACCTCACACTAAATATAAACACAGGCCTCGCCGACCTTCCCGTACTGAACACGCAGCCTCCGCTACCTCTGCACCAGTCTAACAAGCCAGTTATGCAGAGGGACTATCAAGTGGGAAGGAATTGACTTTAATTACTTTGCTTGCACTGTTTCTGACTGCTGGACCTTTTCAGGGATGAACATATTCTATTTTCGACTCCTGAGAACAGGCCTGGGGGCTTGATTGTCTTGCATGGTGTAATTAATGAGGTACACATGACCCAGAGAGACACCCCCATCTTGTTTTTTTTATGCACTTGTTTTTTTTGTTATATGACCTTGTTTGTAGTTAATTTGTTTGTTGGCCTATTTGTGTATTCAAATCAGAGCTAATCGGGCTTCACTGCTAGATTCTATGGTTGATTTCTTTTTTAATTAAAAACCTGTTTTTTATCCCCACCTCCCTCCCCAGACAACTGTCATAGAATATGTGAAACCGTCTGATTTGAAGAAGGACATGAATGAGACGTTTAAGGAGAAGTTTCCGCACATCAAGCTGACGCTGAGCAAGATTAGAAGGTTGTGCTCTGTGCTCTGTATCTTATATGCTTTTATTATAGCGCAAAAAAACTGAAGTGAGCAAGCAAACTCCATGATAACAATCTCATGTGTGACAGCCATGAGGCTTGTGGAGCAGTGAAATGCTGCAGCTTGGTCACGCGACAATAGACTCAACTGTTTTTCATGCATGTACGTCAACTCTGTCCGTGTGTCTTCTGTCGTCAGCCTGAAGCGAGAGATGCGCGCCGTTAGCAACGAATGCGGCCTGCAGCCTGTCACCGTGGCGATGGCCTTTGTGTACTTCGAGAAGCTTGTGCTGCAAGGGCGGCTCAACAAGCAGAACCGCAAGATGGTGTCGGCTGCATGCGTGTTGCTGGCTGCCAAGATCAGCAGTGACCTTCGGAAGCCTGAGGTCAAGCAGCTCATCGATGTGAGTGTCATCACTGCAAGTCCGTCTCTTTGTGGGTGAAACGAAAGTTTGAGAATGCTTCATGTAGAAGCCTATGCCTTTGTGGGCCTCTCATCGGCTCACATAGACAGACATGTAGGTACATGTTTATCTATGTGAGAATTATTTTTTTTTACTTCTATAGCTATCTGTTCTTTTAAAATATTCATTGCCTTTTTAAATTCTTTCCTGTGCTCGGAACAGAAACTGGAGGAGCAGTTCCGCATCAATCGCCGGGAGCTGATCTCCTTTGAGTTTACAGTCCTGGTGGCCCTAGAGATGGCGCTGTACCTTCCTGAGAGCAAAGTCATGCCACACTATCGTCGGCTGGCGCAGCTGCCCTGATCGGGGGTGGGGGGGGTCGCGCCTGGCAGCGAATGCAGACAAGGTCAGGCAAGGTCGCCAAGAAGCAGAGCGACACCCCAGAGTAGTCAGACACAATAGGATCTCTAATCGATGGGCCGCTCCAGACCTCGAACCCGGGCTCCATCCAGCACTGCCAGCAGCTTTCATACAATCAAAGACATTCCTTGTTCTTGATAATCATGCTGTTTTTATTTGCTGTCGTGTCTGTTTCTGAAATCACATCTGTTAATGCTACACACATATGTTTCAGTTTATGCAATAACAGATTTTATTTGTTACTGCTCCACATGCCTAATGGTACGTGATGTACAGCCAGGCTTCTACTACCTGGAGATCTTGTGTCTCCAGAGTCCAGCTCTGGTAAAGAGAATGACAACCATTGTTTGCAGAAATGTCCATTTTTTCCCAGAAACATTTCTGAAAAAATAAAGTCTGAAAAGAAACATTTCGTCCCCACAATGTAATATAGATATAATCCATACACACGCACATTCATTTTCATTTCTCTGTGGGACCATCCATTCATCTGTTAATATCTATGGGCATAACCCTAGTCCCAACTATGACAACCTTACCCAGATCTATTCTGAACCAAAAGTAACCAAACAAAATATTAGACATTTGACATTTTTAGTTTTTTTGATTGCAGTCACTGATTTTTATAAAATTGAGTTTCCACTTGTGGAGACCTAAGAAATGGTCCCCACAACATAAAAATAACAATCTATTTTTGGATTGTGACATTTAGTCATGTATATACACATATACACTACTGGCCAACATTGTGGAAACACTTCCAGTTTTTAGAGACTGCAGAACTTTATTCAACTATTGCTCAAGTTACTTATTTAATCATCCCGTGTATGGTATTTGTAACATTCTGTGATTGTTTATAAACATTACTGCCAATATTTGTGTAGTAATTTTTAAAGCGTAATGCCAAAAATGCTAGGTGTGACCACACATACACACATTTTCCCGGTATGGTCGTATAATTTTATCAAGAAGTATACAGTTATATGTTTGTTAATTAATATTTCAAAAGGGAGAGTTATCCAATGTTTCAAGTAATTCTGGCTTTTGGAGGCCCTTGCTGTGTTTATTTATTTTCCTTATGTTAGTCTCTTTATATACAATTATTTATGCTTTTGTCAATGTTTTGTATATTATTTATTGCAGTTCATCATCATTTGTAGGTGTCACTATTTAACCTTTAGCTTTATTTTATGCACGTTCTGTTTATGTGCATCTTCGTTCTTCCAGCAGCACTGAGGTGGCCGTCACGTCGGGCGAAGCTCTCTATGTTAGAGGAGGCCTTTTTATCCCTTATCAGCACATTTTTGGTGCTAATCTACTGCATCTTTCAGTTCTCTTCCTTTAACACCCCCCCCCCCAGTTTGTGAACATGCCATTGTATCACCCTTAAACCTGAACATTTATTAATTGTATTTTAGTAGTCAGGTTAAAGGGAGCACAAACATTTCAGTTTCATTACTGCGGTGAATTTCATGTGTTCATAGTAAAAAAGGGATCACGTGGATTAAATTTTTTTTTCATAAAGCCATATACAGTTGTTTCCTAGGTGACACAAAAACTGTTGGTTGACTGTGGAGAAAATTGCACAACATATGACACAAGTTGATTTGTGTACATTTTCCATGACCAAGCAGCCATCCTGTCACGTTTGATGAGTGTTAGAAGAGTTTTCCTTTTAAATTCTAATCCTCATTTTTTCTGCATTTGAAAAACGAGATAATTACACAATTCCTGTACTGTGATGATGTGAGGTTACATGTTAGTTTCCTTTAAACTCATGATTTAATGGGGGAAAAATCTTTCACTGTTACCTGTGTCACTTCTTTTCATTTCTCTCACATTTAAATACATGGAACTAAATATTGCGCAATAGTATAGCTAGCGCCACCTTGTGGTGATAACTGCAATAAGCAACTCGATAACGTGATGGTTGGAGGAAATTGTTCCGTAGTTCAGTCAACCATTGTGTTTATTTTCCCTCAGGAAATATTATCATTCACCACAAAGAGTGTATTTTACTAAGCTGCACAAGGTCTGATTAGTAAATGATTTATGGTTGTGAGAACAGTGCTACTTCCTTAATTATCAGTAGAGGTGGATTTAATTACTGCTGCATTATATAAATAATTATAGCACCTGGAAACTTTCTGTCTATATTAGATATTCCCTCCGGGATGGAGGAATATCTAATAGAGAATTTTTTTTCTTAAGCGAGGTGTCCAGTGTATCACAAAATTTGGATCAGCTATGGCCAGGATATGTTTATATTTGTAGTTTTTTTGTTTAAGATTTTGGATTTTTCTTATTTAAGAGAACACTCAAATCGTACCAGTAACTCATGCTGGAGGATTTTGATGATGGTAATTCGGACAAGGCCGAAATAACTTCTGCATTTATTTTCTGCAGATTTGAATGGCACATTGTCAACATGTACAGACACACTGACAGTGCATTCCGTTACAAAGTGCCTGAAACAGAAGGTATTGATTCACCTTTTGAACTGATTTGGTCCGAAACACTTCTCATTTGTTCATCGGTAGTGACCGTAACGAAGCAGCACACTGCATATGCATATGTGACACTGTGACTTTTAATGACAAAAGCTTTGGCATTGTGGTGACCATGGTGCTTCCAATACTAATATAATACTGGGTAGGTGGAAATTGAAAAGCTGTAAATGATTTTTCCTTGTAGCATGGGTTTAAATTTAAACAAAAATCTCTTTTCAAGTTTAACTATCAACCCTGCTTTTGTGGCAAGTATATAATTTTTAAATGCTGGTAAAAGGAAAATTATAAGGTGTATTAAAAATGTTGTTGACGAGTAATCGGCCCACTGCTCATTTTAACTAAAGATTTAGCCCTTTCCCTTTGTGTATTACTGTGCTTTAAGTGGGTGATTACGTCATGTATCTTTAATGCGCCGTGACTTACATTTTTTCTCTGTATAACAGTTTGATTTAGATCATTGTATTAGTTTGAATGACTTTTTGAGGCAAAATATATTTTTCTGATTATTGATATGGCTTATTGTGTTTTTTGCCCATTACCTTATTATTACAAATCACTTTTCTCTGATGCTTAAGTTATACACACACACACATACACACACACACTTTAATTTGTGGTATAAAAAAATGTCCCATATGCTATATATGACTGGCATCCCATCCAGGGTGTACCCCAGCCTTGTGCCCTGTGATAGACTGGCATCCATCCAGGGTGTACCCTGCCTTGTGCCCTGTTCTGACCCCAGACCTTCTATGACCCTGATCAAGTGATTGGAAGATGGATGGAAACTATATATATATATATAAGTTCCATTATTTAAATGTATTTGCGTATAAAGTAAAGTTAATACAATGACTATGCAAACCTCCTTTACAGTAAGCCCTCATACTTCTCAAAAATCCATAAAGTGTCACATTTATTCTCAAACATACCAGGGATATGCCCTTGGACATCCCTGAAGGACATCCCTGAAGGACATCCCTGAAGGATCTCACTTTATCTTCCCAGTTTTCCCCTGTAGCTTGATCCCACTGCACGCCAGCTCCTAGCAGCTGGGCATCACCAAACCCCTGCACAGCCTTTGATGGGGTAAGTTACACATTCCTGGCTGTAACATCCTGTTCTGAGGGATGTCAGATGCCCTGTCGCTATGTTCCACTGAACTTATATCTGGCTGTCATGCTTGCTTCTCAATGGACGGGAAGCTGCAGTCCAGATTTAGCAGTGATCTGCTGTGACTCACTGCTATATTTTTTCAAGCTCATTTGTATCTGATAATTGCTGTTATAATGCAGTGAAAAGGATGTAACATTATTATGCTATCCAAATGTCCATGCAATTTACACAGGGTTTAGCTTATTATAAAAGTGATAAAGAAATGATGGCTTGGCTCTGACCGGGTGTAATTACACACTGCGCAGATTATAAGGTGCGACTCTGACTTGTATGTTCCTTGTGATATGGCTAAAACAGCCGGGGGCTTATTAATGAGCTGGCTTCCCTTATGCTTTGGAGTGTGTGGGGGGGGGGGGGACCCTGGGCCAGCAGTAACCAGAAGTTTGGCGGTGATGATTTGTGTACCTGGTGTATTCAGATGTCTTAATGACTATATGAGATGCAAGGAAAGGCAAGTTTATTTATATAGCACAATTCAGACACAAGGCAATTCAAAGCGCTTTAAAAAGGCAGAGTAATACATTTAAATAAAAGACATTAAAGTCACATGGATAGGGTTCATCTATTTAAGAAAAGTCAGATTTTCAAGGGTGCATGAGATTACTAGGAACAGCTTCTTCCTCCTCACGTTAAAGCACAGTAGGTGGCAGTATGAGTATTAAATTTCATGTTTGCATGGAAAAACATTTGACATCATTCTGTCCAGAGACCCGTAAACAAAACCGGAAGTAAGGGGGATCATTTTAAACGCTGCTTGGAATACTTAAAATACTTAAAAATTGACAGATGCGTTTGAGTCCATTTAATGTGAAACATGCATTGACATTGTAAGCCACATATAAATTAAATCAGCCTTATACATAATATTAATGTGTATAATATTAATGTTACATTTATGTAGCACTTTTCAAGACACCCAATGCACTCTATATAACCAATAGGGGGCCACTTCAACCACCACCACAGTGTAGCCCCCACCTGGATGATGCAACAGCAGCCTTCACCACACAGTAGCTAAGGTAGTGAAGGGGCAGTAGAGAACTCACCAATTAGACATAGCGGATGATTAGTAGGCCAGATTTATCAGGGTCACACTGGGTATTTTTAGCCAAGACATCGGGGTATCACCTCAACTCTTTTAAAATATGCCCAGGGATCTTTTATGACCTCTGATAGTTAGGGCTTCAGTTTTACATCTCATCTGAAGGGCAGCACCATTTTTACAGCACAGGGTCCCCATCACTGCACTGGGGCATTGGGATCCACACAGACCCCAGGACTGGCTAACTTGTTTGCCACACCAACACCTCTTCCAGCAGCAACCCAGCTTTCCAAGATGATCTCCTAACCCAGTACTGGCCAAGCCCAAAGCTGCTTAACTTCAGATGTATTACCTAGTCTGAGCAGCAGGTGGCGTGGCTGCTGACTTTCCATGTGTCCCTCATCTCCAGAGTCGGGATTGGATGTGTGGAGTGTGCATCGTTTCCCTGTTACACAGGCTTGTTACAGGTACCCTGATTTGAGGATTTGCTGATTTGCTATGGCTACGATCACGTAGGCTCTACATTATGTGTGTATTACTTGACGATCATTACACATCACTATCATCTTAGACGTGTTTTGCAATTGTATCTGTAATACATGCAGTCACAGCGCCACATTTATAGGGAAATTTCAGCAAAAAGTCTTACTCTTGTTCATAGGGAAATTGTATGCGCTGTGGACATAAAAACTGGTATATGTTTCTTTACTTTAAAAAAAGGTGATTTTGTAATTCCTTATACTTCTGTGTTTGGTAAATTAATTAATTAGTGTCAATACTTATCAGACAAAATATTTTAATTGACAATTTAACTATGAATAATAATGAATTAGTTTAAGTTTCTTGTCTGGGATGGCCACAAACAGAGACTGTATGTTTACAATGTTTTCAGTTAATCTGTTGAAGAAAGCTTAAATTTGTAAATATTTTTCAATTACAAATGCCAACAATAAAGGCATAACTCTTGGTAAGTTAATTCATCTACACATTATAATTTTTCTCATATTTTCATGGGGCTCTTGTACTCCAACCCCCACTAACTTCACTTTCACTATAAACATAAAAATGCCTGTCAGTGGAAATTCTGTAATTATGGTTTTATAAGCAGTCTCGTAACCACGTTCGTATAATATATACCATTTCACACGTTTAGCTATATTTTTCTTCTATAATGGCAAAGGTGGCCTTAAGGAAAATGTCCACATGAATGTAGCTGGTTACTTTTACCAACAAAACATCGTCTCCTTGCTAAGCATGAGCTTGTCTTTTTTCCACGCAGATACGGACCTTCTTCCCTAGACACATGCTGTCAGATTTATTACCCTTCAGCAGCCGCCCTTAATATGCACCGTCAATCTGTGCTCACTGCTTCCCCCTGGCGTGGCGACCAGGTAAAATCATCTCCCAGTCAGGCAGGAAATTAATTGTTGCAGAGTTAGCTAAAAATACTAGGCAGCGCATCTTTCTCTGCCTGTTTTCTAATAACACTGTAAGGCCAAGGAGTTAAATCCGCCCGGATCATATCATGGAACGTTTTGATGGAACTCGGATATCAGCAGAATATTAGCATCTGACAAAAGTAGGGCAGTGGTAGCTAGTGTCTGGGCATCAAAATAAGATACGTAAAAAATAATGCAAGTTTTTTTTATGACAGAACATTTTTTCTACAACAATCTAGATCCACAGAAAACCTGACCCAGTATTAGGGTAGTTACTCCATCTGGTGGCACGTACGGCAAGCATTGATCAGTGGTAACTGTTCCCAGAGATCATCAAAAGTCCTCTATGCCATTAATTCACTCTTTCCAAAAATACTAAGCATTTTCTATGTGTAACCCCTTCATTGCAAATAATGCAAACCATGAATATCCTGATATCAACAAATTAACTGAATGTGAAGGTGAATGACACCACTGCACATTATGCTGTTGGTCACAGGAACATAAAGGTGTGATCTTCATCATAGAGTTCAGCAAGGGTTTGTGCTACAGTACGTCCTTTGGGGGTCGTTCGTTAAAAATATTATGTCCAGAAGAGGGCAGAAATGGGTAACGAATAGTTGTACAAGCAGTTTTCGGGTTCAAAGGTAGACACTGGTGAAGTACTGGTGGACTACTCACTAAGTCGCGTGGTCCACATCTTTTCAGGCTGCCGAAAAAGGTGCATTAGAATCAACATCTCCATCTGCAATTTGTCCTGCAAAGCAGATCATTTTTAACTAAAAGCAGATTATTATGCCTAATGTACAGCATATTTTTATTTGCAACATAAACTTTGATGCATTAATATATATATATATGTGACAAGAGGACAAAATAAACAGTGAGACGGAACTGGGAAACAGAGGACACTGCAAGGCTGGATGACAGTAGGGCAAGACAGCAGGTAAATCGGAAGGCATACAGAACCTGCAGGTTGTTCCCGAATCGTCAATTTGCTGGGGACGGGAGGAGTGAAATCGGGATTTCCTGGGGCAGGGAATCAAAGAAGAGCAGAAGACGAAGGAATAGAGTATACAGGGAATCAACCGGTATTTTGACTTGTAGCTATCTCTATTTAAAAAGTTTTAAAAATTATGTAACAGACAAAAAATATATATTTAGTAAACTACAAAAATATATTTATTGTGAAGATTTACGCTGTTCTTTTACTTTTTACTGAAGTACAAATGGCTGTCACAGGTTGCTGTAATGTTATTTCACGTAAGTATGCACTTAAAGTAAAACAGATAGGCTGTTACAATCCTATTCAGGGTTTCCCCTGCATTGTGTTCTGTAATAGAGATTAATAAAGTTCATAATTTCTTATCTTTATCTAGTAAATACAAATACCATCACCAAATACGGTATTGGTAATCGGTCAGGACAGTATGCTGACTCAGGTTCAGGAGATGGTCACATCGCCAACGAGCCGACATAGAATTATGGGGCATCACAGCCACTACAGTGAGCCCTTCCGGTCCTGGACGGGTAGCAGAGCAGCAAGTGGCCGCGGTCAGATAATCGTTCTCGCTGCCGTGCTGAGCATGACCGTGAATCTGTAATGTGCGCCGCAGAGGGTCACGATCCAGAGAGCAGCAGAGGTCGTGTAAATCAGCCGCCACTCTGCATACTCCATTAACAGTGAGCCAGCAAAGATAAGTGTTCTTCTGAAAGGGAAAACTGTGCCTGACTTGTCTGCAAAATAAATAACACATAAATCATATGTTTTGCTTTGCGGAGAAATGATGTTCCTTTATTTAAAAGTGTTAATTAGTTTTATATGGTAATTATAGATTATATAACTGATATAT